ATCTTTCTGTAAAAAAATAGGGCCAAGAAACTTGCCAGGGTCAACGGCGGGCGGCGACGCAGACCAAGTCGAATAGCCGGGCGGGTTTGGCGCTTGTATTGATAGATTCATGCGCTACCTCCTTAATGAGACTGCTCGCGACTACCATGGTTTATTAAAATGAACATAATCTTTTTGTAATGTACCTCAGGTATGTCTTTTATAGCCTCTTCAAGGTACCGGGTATTCATGGGTGCTTCAGCTCGAACAATGCAGGCAACTTGTGTCCCGAGAAAACAAATGCCCATCAGTTTTTCATCTATGCAGGTATTCTCTACACACAACCTTTCGTTGCATGCTGCAGCATGGCACAGATTTAACAAAAAAGTTTAGCAACTTGCTGCAATGGGCTAGTTGCCTTGAAACAGATTCCCAATACTGTTACGGCTAACCTAGAGTGCACTATAATTTTTTCCATCTTTTGCATGATGAAATTCTGATGAGCATGTGACGTACAGGAAAACTCGGAACAAACTATTCTACAAGAATAGTGTTTTCTTTATGCTAGCGCGTGTTAAAGCTTCTCGGTCAGTGCAGGTATCAATTCGACAGCGATTCAACAATGACGTGACAATTCACTTGACAACGCACTCGATCGCTAGTTCGTTATTTGCTTCAGTTTTAAAGTATGCCCTTACATTGCGTGCGTAAGATAGACTTCGGCGATCGACGATAGGATTCGGCTACCGAAATCTCTGGCTTCGAGCGCCTAGCTGGTCTAGTTTTGAATAAGAGATGTGCCGCTCGAGCAGCGGGAGCATTTGTGCCCAGCTTTCGATTCAGACCGTGAAAGTAAAGGATGAAGGATCACAGCGAGCGTCACCGACCGCGATCATCTGTGTCTCGACAGTACGTAGCTGCCCGTGCGCCTCGAATATACACACAAGCAGAGGTGCCGTAGTGCTAATACACTGTTTTCACGCGTTAAAGAAACGGTGCACATGAACTAGCTTGCTGATCTCTGGTCACCTATTCACAGTAAAAATCTGGAATACGCTCGGGCGCGGCGATCCAGCTGCCGTGCTCGCTATACGTACCTCTCTCAAAACAAACGTTGAGAAATGAATACTTACTTAGGAGGTTGCCGATAGTCTTCCAGGAATTCTCCCGCTTTATCTTGTCACGATAATCGTGTCGGGATGTATCCCATATCCATGGGAACTGCTCAACTTTTTCAATAAGTGCTACCTCAAAACAAGAACTAAACTCGTCGGCCATCTTCGAGGGAACGGGAGTCGGGACAGACGGGATGAAGAAAAAGGTAGGAAGAGCCACATTCCTTTTTTTTTTTTTTTTGACGACTCCTTATTGGTTCGTCGGAGGGCCGCTTGCAACTCCTTACGACCAGGTACGACCGGCTAAGCGCAGAAGCGCAGACCTCGGCGTCCTCGGTTGCCATGGCAACCAAGTGGTTTGAGAGGTTTCAAGAAGTTTTAGCGCACTCGGTCGAAGACGGTCGCAAGTGTGTGAAAGGGCCTTAAGTGCCATGATCTCTACCAGAATAAGAAACTTCTCTTTACTTTTACAGGAGAAAAGGGATCCGGTTCCACTTCCCAAAGTTGATCTCCCGGGACGGCTAGTCGAGCGACTGCCTTATCGATAAGCTGCTCAGGGGCACACTGAGGCAATCCGCCCTTTTGGTTAGGTCACAAACATTTCCCTTTCAGTAATTTAACTACACACACTATTTCGTACCATGTGACATATGCTGTGCCATCTTGATGAAAAATTCAAGATATTCCATCAAATTGCTGGGAAACCAATGATTAGGAATTCACCACTGATAGCAGCCTCACTTGCATCTGAGCGGAAAGATAACACTTGTACCACCAACTGCCTGCCATTCAAACATGGGTGGTCTTGCTTTTCGCAATTGCTTCTGCTTCAAAATTTAAATGGGGATTGATCTCTAATAAACCTTTTGCTAAATTTCAAAATATCAAGGTGGCCAGATATTTCGCTCATCAAAGACGTTTCACTAAATTACCGCAGCATTAAGGTGCATGCAATGATCGTTGCGAGCCATGCAGCTGGTGGTCAACAGTTCTCTAGGAAAGCGGCAAAGCTTAAAGGAGTCATCAAACGCTCTTCCAACTTTTTCCTGTTTAGCCTTCCTCCTCAACTCATAAATCGCGCATTCTTCCAGACAGTTCAAGAATACGGAAAAGGGGAGTCCCGTCTTGCTCGGACTCTCGTTTGTGTAATTCGGACATCTCCATTCTGCCCCTAGAAGATTATCCCGTCGCTCAAAATTTAGACAAAAGTTGCTTTCCCCACCCCGTTCACCCCGGAGCTGACAGTGCTGTGGAAGCTACGTGCTCCTTCGGCCAGCCACACTTTCGCCACGTGATCTCGCTCTCTCGCGCATACCCACGCGCAGAGAATGAAATCAGGTGATGAAAGGGGGGCGGCTGATTGGTCCGGCAAGGGCGTAGCTTCCACCACAATGTCAGCTTAGGGGTAGAGAGAATAAGTGAGGTCCGGCGTCGTGTAAAGGTGCGTTTGGAGCCGGCAACGCGCTGCGGGGTCCGCGGATGTATCCCAGTGAAAAGGCAAAGAGATTACGAAAGAAGGGAGGTACGAAATAGTCCGCAGTATTTTCAAATTTTCGTACCGAAAGTCAGGCTTTTGATTTTCTACATTTTTTTTCCGCCACTGATCCGATGTGCTATTAGTAAAATCCCAATATAAATTTATTTATTCCAGCCCAAAATTCGTTTCTTGGGCCCTTTAATAACCGCTAGAATAAAGCAACAAGAAATGCAGGTGCACAATTTCATTTCACCTACTCTCTTTAATCTACCGCTGCAGACAGTCGCACACACAGCATGTGTATCTGCAATCCTTGCATGCACCTTGATGTTTGGGTAACGTAGTGAAACGTCTTTAGTTAGCCACATCTTTGGGTTGATTGAAAAATCCTAGTAAATGCATGGCTTGCCTGCAGTTTCTTCGTACACACCAGTGTGGTGCTTTGAAGCCTGCACACTCAAATTATCATATTTAGGTACTCCAAATTTACATAAAATTGATATTTTATCTCCAAAATTGCTACAAATCGCTTTTCAGTGCTGCATCACTGTTATCTTTTCATTGCAGATACTGGCCACGCCTTCAACATCTGCTGTACAGGATGTTTAGATAAAAAAAATCTATGATGAATATCAACTTTGCGTGTGAAGTTTGTCGATGACGTCCGCCTTGTTGTTCGATTTTGAGGCATTGTTACTGCAGCAAGCAGTAGGTTTAACCAGTGGGAGAAACCTGATTTCAATGTGTTGACATGCTTTAGTGTGCTTGCATGACTGACAGGAGTGGCATTGCTGACAAGAGAGTACGCCTAGAGATGTAAAACTGTGAACTTATTGTGATGGTCCGACAGGCAAATAGTAGTGCTATTGTTATTTTCAAGTGCAATGACAGCTGACTTAGAAGAAAAAAATGTATAAACAAAGCAGGAATGTCTCCCAGCACAATCTACGCTTAAATTAGCGTGGGTGGTTGAGTGACGTGCACTGCCTGCCTGTCCAAGTTGACCTAGGAGATTCGCTCTCATGTCCAATATTTTGCTGAACTTAAGAACGAACTAACAAAATTTTGGATTCAGGAATTTTGGTGAGTTTTTATACATATCATTGGCTCTCCCCCAACAAGATACTCGCTATGGGTGCTAAACTTTGTCTCTCTCACATTTCTCTACACATTGTGAGTGTAAATTGACCCTAACACAAATATTAGACAGATTCAAAATATTTGATACTTCAGAAATACGAGGCCAAAATGCTGTAAACATAATAGTTTAAAGTGTGTGGTTTATGAAGCAATTCTTTTTCTGTTTTGCTTGCCTTCGCAGAAATTGCAGCTGCCCCAGCCGCAAGCGAGGATCCTCCCGCCCCCAGACTGCCAACAGTCACGCAGCTGATCGCGAATACAACTTCGCTAACCTCAATAAATTTGTAGAGATGAGGGCAACGTTCTCTGCGGATGTTTGTGTGACAATCGAGGAGAGGACGAGAAAACAATTACGTTCTGACGACTGGTTGATGCACAGTATAGATGTGGCAACAGCACATTTTGCTATTCGTTCAAAACGAAACCAGAGAAGCTGAACCATGCCACACAACCTGGGGCCTCTACTAAACTAAGCGCTTCGCACGAGCACATTGCAGTCGGCTGACATGCGGCGCGAAATCATGATGGAACCGTGAGGTTCCATCATGAAGTATCTTCAAATACTTGAATCCCAGGGCCACACGTGCGTTGTCACAGAGGCGCGTTAGTTTGGGGCAAGTTGCCCCTGATGGGCTGTAGCCCAGATGCATAGTTACATTCACCTGTGAATGCTGCGAGGGAAAGTTCTTGAGTTAAAGTGGCCTCGTCAGGTTGCGAGTGCATTCTCAAAATACAAGCCAACGGCCCCCTTCTACTCACAGGTTCAAATACAGATTGCAGTTTGCGACTTTTTTTTTTCTTTTAGGAATGGAGAGAACAGGAGGGCGCTTACTGTGCCCTTTGACTCCTTTAAGCTGCTGTTTATGAGATGTAAGAGAGATATTTCTTGGCAACCCTGAATTGTTTCTCAGAATACTGCTCGTGGTAGTGGGCTACTGAATGGCAAGTGCAATGCAATTGCATTTTATAGTTGAAGAAGTAATTGATTTTCACGTGAAAGATGGAAGGCCTAGATCTTTTTACAATTCTGGGCACTCCTTGCCTGGAAGCTGGTGAATAAAGAAGTGCCGAAAAAACGTGTACTAGTGGATGATACAATATTCGTATTTATTGCATCTAAAACATTCTTAAATGCACAACTGAGCCGACGTAGCTTAGAAGAATGCCGAATGCCAAAGCATATGGTGCAAAAATACTGGACGCTAGAAAAGTTTAATAAAAGTCCGTGATCCAGAGAGGTTACATTCAACTGCAGTTCGGAAAGCTGTGTTACCCTGTCCGACGTTCCCTTAAGTGCTTAGATATCTGCTGTCGTTGAACAGGGGCTTCGAAAGGTTGCGTAGACCTGCAATGATTCCGACAATGACGTCAATTTGCGGGAGCAGGTCTGCGCTGAAATTGTCGCGGAGGATTCTGAACAGCTTCATGCGGTGAATAGCACGTAAAACATGGACACGTGCGGCTGCTATGTTCTGGTTGCTCTTGGCGTCGTGCAGGCTGAGCTGCTCCTTTTTACAAGCGAATGGCTGGCGAATCAGATTCACCTTGTGTTCACAACATAGCTCATCAATTAAAATCCCCTTGTAGACCATCACACTGTCAATGAATGGCAGGCATATTTCTAAATGCCCACTTTCCTTCATGATGAGGGTATCTGATGATCTAACGCAATTGGCCGGACTAACATAGCTAATCAGGCCACCTGGTGTCTTGCACACAAGCACCTTTGCAGTGTGAGTGCCTTGTAAACTGCTGGATGTCAGAAGCTGCGACTCCATGTTTTTAGGCTTTTGAAAAGGAATCTTCGTGCAATCAAGCACCATGCGGCACTCTCTGTACTTGTTGAAGTACTTGGTCAGGGACCGCAAAACACCTTCTGTCTCCGGCCAGAAAATGACATGTCTCAGTATTACAACCAGAATTGACACTGACGCTTTTAATATGTTCGAAGCAGTCGTGCGATGGGTACCAAACAGGACGCCAAGACGTGAGAACGTCATGTTATGGTACAGCTTCATCTCGGTAAGTAACACGGCATCCTCATTGCTGACGTAGAAGTCTTTTTCTGTGTCCAACATTCGGGACTCCCGATAGAGGTCAGTAAGGCTGTAAAGCAGCTGGAAACAGGGTACACAGGTAAGTATCGTGAGGGCCTTCTCGTCCCTGACCTTTGCGATTCCCAACACTTGATCTTTCTCAAGTTGCAGGTTGTCGGCTTGAACACCAATTACTTTCCTTAGGCTGCCAGTAGTTCAGCTTCAAAATCTGAAATGTTCAAAACAACTTCGGTGCAAACTAAAATCATGCTGACACAATCCTACAATGTCGGCAGGCAATATTCACCCTCTTCGCATTTGGTGTCGGCAGCATCTGCACTCTCGTCAAGCATGCCTGATTCAAATGTGCTCTGGTTTCTGCTGCTGCTGGCTTGTTCGGAACTGCTTGATGGGTTCAGCTCTTATAAGGCGATTGCTGCAAGCAGGTCATCATCTTCTGTGGGAACCATCAGGAGAAAAATTCCTAGTGGTACAAAATTGCAGAGCAAGTAATCTGAGACACATCGCTATGTTCTAATTTGCGATTCCACTCTGCTGAAAAGTTAAACATCTATACTGGGGGCAAAAGATTAGTGCCTGCTTAGCGCAGCATCCAATGATTACGACTCAATATGTACCCAACAAACGTGAGCACTCACTCCAATGTTTGCTTTCATTCGAACTTTCTCGCTGCATCAGAGGCTTGTCAAGTGGCCGTACAGGTAAATTCAGAGAGGGCACGGTTCCCGCGGAAAGTCTCCTTCTTTTCCAGCCTGCGAAATGCAATCACAGCAAACATATCTGCCTAGTCGAGTTCAAGCATAGGACTAACTTGGCAGCGAAAAAAATAGTGTTTACAAAACACGGCTTTCATATGTCGTGTTTTGTGAAAAAGTCACATTAAGATACACTCTTTTGCGACATTGTCAAGCTCGGTCACTTTTTGTGCTTCTCGCTAACCTGTAAAAACAAAAAATTCGAGCGAGCGTCGATCTTGCACGAACACCGGGGAGGATAGGTTGACGAAAATAACTTCAGAGCACTTACCAAACACTTGCCATCCAACTGCACACTCAGTCTTCATCTCGGAAGTGCTTGCTGCAAACTGTCGAACTCTTCGTGTTTAATTTCCGCATTCTCAGCTTCACAAGCCAGTCGCCCCGCAGCTATTTCTCCTTGGGGTAGACGTGGAAACTGACTTCGTCAGCTAAAGCGTTCTTGACGCCGAACCTTCAAACACAAAAAACGGTAAAAAATACTGGGCGAACGATTCACTGCATCTAGGCGCTAAATTAAAGAATCAAACCGACCGAAGGAAAGAGAGGCGCAATACATTGCTTCGTCACGTGATCCCTAGCCCTACGTTACGGTCAAGGGATTGCGGTGTTCCAATCGGTCCCGCTCGGGGCCAATAGCTTTCATTAAAATATTTACCAGATTTTTTATTTTGGAAGGGGGGTGGGGGGGGAGACATTTACAATAACCGGGAGTAACAGTTATGGCGAATTCGACGCATCATTCTGGCGCGAAACGGGATTGACTGTTCTAGAGCGCGTCTATGTCATTGGCGATCGGTAGCGAGGCGGATGTGCTCCACTCGCCGTTCTAGATCAGCTCCCTCTCCAGATCTCAATCCGGATTCGAGAAACGTCGTGACTTCTTTTCCTGCCGGGCATCTCGCCTGAAAAGAAATCGTAATAGCAACTCGCGAAGTCCCGCCCGCTTTGCTGCTGCTTAATGACAGTTCGTCGTCAATTCGCTCGAGCAGCTCCTCCAGTAGTAGGTGCTCGAGTAGCAGCGATGACGAGGATTGCGTGTATCTTCCGCATCAATTGAACCGCCACCTTGGACCTGAGCAGAAGAAACCAAGATATGAGACTTACTTTGACACCGTTCAGAAGTACTCCGATAAAGAGGCAAGGGGACTGCGCTGACGCACATCGCTTATTTACACGCATCTTTTACATCATGATTAGCTTCGCTCTTGCGTCGAACACGTGTTGTTGGCAATATCATGGCAAAAAAATCTGCTTCGAGATGCGAAACGCAGGAAAGGAATTTTCGGGGAGATGATTGACGGGAAGGCATCCGCCGATCCAGGAGGAGCGGTCATATTCAAATAGAGATCCGGAGGCGGAGCGACTCCATTCGGACCGCGTGTTTAATCTAGAATCTGGTGTACTGATCTCAGTGCCCTCCAAAAATACAAGTGGTATTCGCCATTAGACTCCCAAAAAGCACAGGTTTGACCTCCCCCGTCCTAAGGCATTTATATGGAACTGCTCCGCAAAAGCAAACGTATTCTCAGGTGTTCCAGTGTTGAAAACACGTTCTGGTGCTGAACTCGCCGACTTAGTCACTACATAGAAGGGTAGTTGCGATATGCTTGACAAAACACGCTGATCTGGTCGACCTTTTACGATTGGGCAAAATCTCACTATGACCTCTTGAGTATGATAACTCTTACCCTTATCACTGGAAATAAGAGGAATGTCAGAGTGCCAACTTTCACGGTGTTGGCAGTTTTGTTATAAGGACGCGGTAACTACAATCTTCCACGGTGCTTAATATATTCACCAACGAAATTGTCACTGGTAATTCATAATCATGGTCGTTACGTCAGAAATAGAAACCGTAGTACCTTGTCGCCAATAATTGTGACACAGAATTCATATTTCTTAATCTTTTGCGGATAAACAAAACCAAATACGGTGTCACGCCTTTCGTGATTTAATCAAGGGTGGGTCCAAAGCACCACCTCATTTCTCGATGCAATGACGTTGCGCCTCTCGCTTTCTAAATGGCCACCATGAGCATGAGTATCGGTACCTGCTTGTTGTAGCGTTTGCAAACAAATGCTCAAAATTGTCGCTGGCAGTTGATAGTGTTGGCAGTGCAAGCGATCTTAGCGTCCTTTCTTAGTAATGGATGCTGTGCACACACATGCATACGCGGGACGGCTGCGACAGCTGCGACAACCTTCATTCCCCTGGACTGTAAGATCAGGATCAAAAGCGACGGTTTATTTCAGTCACGACATAAAAAAATATAGTACATTATAATATTCGCTCGACCTCGTTTTTTTTTTTTTTCATTTTCTTTTCTTTTTTTTCTTTTTTTGCGACAGATTTTATTTTGTAGGTTTCGCAGAGGTTCCGGTGCGTGCTTTAACAATTTTATCTGCTCAATCGCTTCGCGTAAAATATACCGAAAAATCGGTGTCATATGTCCTTGCGACGTCGCGGGAAGCGCTTTCTGTTAATTTTAGCGCGAAAATGTATCTACTAATTTTAACGGGAAAAATCATGACATCACTGTAAGTTTACTGTTACCAAAATCACGATGATTTAAATTAAGCTCTTAACCAATATAACGTTTATTTTACACCCCGGTTTCAGTGTTTCAAGTTAATTTTTTTTGTGCAAAATTATGATTTTATCGTTGTGCGCGCACGGTCGAACAGTGCTAATACCAGACTAAAAATAGCCCAACCCCTCGATGAAGAATGGAATAATGCAAACAATACATCGTGTATTAATATTAGCATATAATTGTTATTATCAGAAAGTGTCCTACTGTATTCAGAGAAACACTTATATTACGATTTTACCTTCGAAAAAATACGTTATTGTGGAGATGGCTGGGATTTCGGTGTTGAGGGTTCGGTGTTTTGCGCAGCATGTCAGATGCAGCCCAAGTGTGCTAGATTATATCTTATCAGCGGTGAAATATGAGAACTATTTCCTGTTTGTTGGCCAGGTGAAATATGAAAATTTTTGTGCCAATATTTGAAAATAAATGTAACCTAAACTGAATTTTCTTGCACCTTAAACAGTGCAAGCGTGCACCGAAATAATCGCATGTCGAAATTAAAACTTATTCAAGTGTTTTAACGCATACTTGTATGTTGCCGTGTTCGTTCCATGGAAATCACATTGTACATGTACATACCCCTAACGTTGTCTCATCACGTTGAAAGGCTTACAAAGAAACTAAATCTTCTCTTGATGCTACCTATTCTTCAAGGGACCATGAAACGATTTTGAAATCGAATTTCATCCACCGCACGTCGTGAAAGGTGTCAAAAGAAACACAAAATCACAAAAATAGGAAGCCAAAAAATATTCTCCGCTATAGAACTTAAGAAAAACGGACCCTTTCGGACTTTTTTTCGAAAGCTCTCTCCCTTTTCACAGCGATACATCATACTACTACTACTACTACAAAGCGTTGTAAAGATTGGGGGGGGGGGGGGAGGTAGAAATAATCTTATAGAAGGGGAGGGGGTGGGTCATGTCGGAAGGTGCGCGAGGGGGAGTAATTTAGTTGTGTCGAATACCGGGCAGCCGGGAGGGGGGGGGGGGGGGGAGTTGGGGGTCCAGCGCCGGTGGCTGGCACGGCGCGGTGTCCGGCGATCAAGCACTCGCCGGGGCGACCACGTCGTGTGGTGGGAGGTCCCACTCAAGTCCATCCGCGTCGGAGTCCGGGCTTGGTCGTCGAGCGCGCGGCAGGTGCGGGCCCAAGCGAGCGTCCAGGGCGCGACAGAACACGGCCGTCGGAGCCCCGCCGTGGTCGACGAGCGCAGGAACCGCAGCACGTCAGCCAAATCCACTCTCCTATTGGGTAAGAGCCTACCTCACCAGCACGATCATAAACAATACATAGCCGGCGAATGCTTCCTAAAAGTTTTCTTAAAGAATATTCAGATCAAGATATTGTAGCATGATTACAATGTGACGAAAATTGCCGAATTTGATAACGCTCAGAGCTAAGCGCCATCTATTGTG